TTTAGTAGAGACTGAACGCTTAACCATGGGTCACCAAGTCACCATGAGGCCTGAGCTACCCATCATGAACTGGGTGCTGTCTGACCCACAGAGTCATAAAGTTGGACAGGCACAGCAGCACTCCATCATTAAATGGAAGTGGTATATCAGAGATCGGGCCTGATATACCTTCAGGTATATCAGGACCTGAAGACACAAGTAAGTTGCATGAAGAAGTGGCCCAAATGCCTATGGTCTCCACTCCAGTCACATTACCTTCCCTGTCCCACTCTGCACCTATGGCCTCATGGGGAGTTCCTTATGATCAGTTGACTGAAGAAGAGAAAACTTGTGCCTGGTTTACAGATGGCTCTGCATGATATGCAGGCACGACTCAAAAGTGGACAGCAGCGGCACTGCAGCCCCTTTCTGGGACTTCCCTAAAGGACAGTGGTGAAGGGAAATCCTCCCAATGGGCAGAACTTCAAGCCATGCATATGGCTGTTCACTTTGCATGGAATAAGAAATGGCCAGATGTTCGATTATATATGGATTCATGGGCTATGGCTAATGGCTTAGCTGGATGGTCTGGGACTTGGAAGAAGCATGACTGGAAGACTGGTGATAAGGATGTATGGGGAAGAACCACGACCAGCTAAGATGCTTGCTGAGGGCAAGGGAAATACAGAATGTGTGGTGAAAGAAGGTAGTTCTGAGTATCAGCCACGACCATGTGACCAGCTGCAGAAATGAGGACTGTGATTGTTGTATTTCTTCATTGTATATGTGCATCAAATATTTTTGTTTCCTTCTGTTATGAACTGTGAAATGTAAATAAGGTTAATGTATTTTGGTTGTATATGTGTTAGTGTATCATGTTAGGCACAAATATGACTTTATAACTGTCCTTATTTAGAGATTATATATGGTTAAGAAGATGTGTACAACTGCCAAGTTGACATGGGGTGGACTGTGATAGCTGGAGCTGTGTGTCAACTTGGCTGGACCCCAGTTCTGTGTGGTTGTTCCCATGATGGGATCGGATGACTATGTTCTGAGTGGTTAATCTGTTGAAGGGGAGTTTCCCTAGGGGTGTGGCCTGCTTCCAGGATATCCAGGGACATCCTGAAAAGAGAGACATTCTTCTGTGGATCGGGATTCTGTTGTGCTGCCTACAACTGTCCGTGAGTGAGCAGTCCACCGTTCGGCCTGGAGATCTTGGATTCGTCATTCATTGGAGTCAACAGCCAGTGTACTGCCTGACAGCCTTGAGCTTCTCGGCCCCTGTGGTTGTGTCAAGCCTCCAGCTTGATGTTTGATCCAGGGACTTTGGACTTGCCGGCTTGTATACGTTTGTGAGTCATTTTCCTAAGATAAATTTCTCTCTCTATATAAGCTTTGCTGGTTTTTGTTTCTCTAGCGAACCCAGTCTAACACACGTACTTTCTTTTACAAAGTGACATTTTTGCTTCTTAACACTTCAAAGAGGTCTTTTGCAGCACATGTGCCCAGTGTAATACAGCATCTGATTTACTGACTGCTGCTTCCATGAGTGTTGATTGTGGATCCAAATAAAATTAAATCCCTGACAACTTCAACCTTTTCTCCATTTACTGTGATGTTGTCTACTTGTGCTGTTGTAAGAACTTTCATTTTCTTTATGTTGAGGTGTAATCAATACCAAAAACTGTTGTCTTTGCTGTTCATCAGTAAGTTTTTCAAGTCTTTTTCACTTTCAGCAAGCAAGGTTGTATCATCTGCATACTGCAGGTTGTTAATGAGTCTTCTTCAATCTTGATACCACATTCTTCTTCATATAGTCCAGAGTAGCATCAAAAGATACAATCCACATGAACAAAAGTTTTTTGGAATCCTGAATAATGTAAGTGTATACAGGGGCCTAGGAGCTCTGGTAGCATAGTGTCTAAGGCACTTGACTGCTAACCAGAAGGCTGGCGGTTCAAACCCACCAGCCACTGCTCGGAAGGAAGGCTGGGCAATCTACTTCCATAGTGATACTGCCTCGGAAACCCAAGGAGGGGTCGTTATGAGTCGGGACCTACTTGATGGCACATAACAACAACAACAACAACATACAGGGGCCTGGGACTAAAAATTTGAAAGACATTATTATAGGGTCATTAGGAGTTGTGATTGACTTGATGGTGATAAGTTAAATAGAACATACAAGATTTTGTCTATATGAACCAAAACCAAACCAAATTCACTGCCATCAATTTAGACTCATAGTGACATTACAGGACAGAGCAGAACTGTCCTACAGGGCTTCCAAGGCTGTAAATACCTATGGAAGCAGACTACCTCACCTTTCTCTCATGGAGCAGCTGATGGGGTTCAAACTGCCAACCATTTTGATTAGCAGCTGAATGTCTTAGACACTAGGATACCAGATCTCCTTGCTGTATGAAGCTCCAACTAAATGCTTGCCACCTCAAATGCTCTTTAGACATAGCTCTATGGGATGTTATTTCACATAGTTTCTATACTTGGAATCAATTGGTCAGTAAACTTTGTATACTACGATTTACATGACCATTAACTGACATCTCTGAAGACCAAGGATCATTTAATACCAGAAATTATGATTAGAAAACTTGTTAGAAGTAATACTCTTACATGCAGAAAGACATACCTCTAATATAGACATATATTTCAATGCATACTAAAACAAGGTATTCATTTGCTTTATTGCTTATTTTTTTTGGGTAAACTTACATTACTTCAACTGTAACTAAAAAAAAGGAGAAAAAGATGTAAAACTGAAGTATGACGCAGTTTGTAAGTGTTTTAAAAAATAAAATCAGAAAGTACGATATGATATGTTGTTTTAAAAAATATGTTAGGAAAACAATCTGATTCTGTTTCTACAATAATATAATATTTTGGATATAATAATCACAAATTATAATGGTTTGGCAAGCAGTTTTTTTTTTTTTTTTTAATTAGGATTTGGGTGAAGATTTACAGAGTAAATTCACTTTTCATACAGCAGTTCACATATACTTTGTCTCATGTCATTGACCAAAATTTACAATGCAGCAGCTCTCCTCCCACTTCCTCCCCATAGTTACCTCCTCCCAGTATCCATCCCTTCATACTCTTCTGCACCCTGAGCTATCTCCCTGTGCATAAGCAGCCCTTCCTTCTCCCATGATTGTTCTCTCCAGGGCATGTGTCTACTTGAGGTAAATGTTTAACTCACATGCCTGTACTTTGTTTGGCTGGAAACCACAGTTGTGGGTTCAATTCCAGACCTGAAGGGCAGCTAGGGGCCATAGACTCAGTGGTTACACCAGGCTCTATTGGACCAGCAAACCTGGTCCCCACCTTCTTTTTTTTTTTTTGCCTCCAAATGATTTTGAGTTTTGTTCCACATTGTTCTCCCTCTTTATGCAGGATCTCCTACATCCCTTCCAAGCGGATGGCAGTGATAGCTGGGCACCATCTAGTTCTTCTGGTCTCATAGTTGTATAGGTTGCAGATCGGATGGTATACCAGTCACTAGGACTGATTGTTTCCATTAATTTTGGTTTTCTTCTTTCTTCTTGACAAGGAGAGACCCGTTGTTGCATCTAGATGGCAGCTTCCTAGCTTTTAAGGTCCCAGTTGCTACTCGCCAAAGTAGTAGGTGGAACAATGTTTTGTATAGTATGTTATTGGCAAGCAGCTCTTATGGAAAGTCTCTGTCCAAGTTTGCTTTCATTTAGTGTTAATGCATTTTAAGTCATACGCTTTATTTAAAACTGTAATCAAGATAAAATTACTTTTCGAGGGAAAATTTTTATCCAGGCCCCCCATGTTCTGCATTAAAATAGGCTAATTTTAGAAGGCCAAAATACTACCAAGCAAACACCCAGCCTCTTATGGATCAATGCACCCACCTGGATGGCATGTTTTAACCCAGCTAAAAGGAAAGCTCTTCAAAAACAAAGGCAACGTCAAGGAAGAGAAGTACTAGTATCGTAGCACCTTTATCATTCAACAAACTCTAACTGTAGCAATAAGTTGAGATACTATTTCCAAGGGATATGAAATCAGTGTTGTCAGGAATGCATTATTCAAGCAGAGAACTTCCTAAAGATTTTGGTATGTTTTGGAAAAATCTCATGACGTATTTTCGTTGTACTGAATATTTAGGCTGAAGCTCAATGCAATGGACGAGATCTTTGTTATATTCTAGATATAGCAGTAATCTGTGTGTAAATATAAGCTCACCAGAATGCACTGGTCAAAGCCCTTCTAAATCTTTGGGTACCAGAAGCAGACATGTGCCATTCTGCATCACTAGAACTCAACATGAAGGAGCCTCAAAAATACACAGCTAAAATCTGTCAGTTAATTTGTTTCTATGTAGTATAACATCCACGATTCACTGGCTAACAAAGCAGAAAATACAATCAACAAAGTAAATAAGTATTTAGCAATGAGTTGCAAGGTGATGCCAATATGGTAGATTTTCATCCTAATCCATACAGATGAGTAGTTGTATCTAATACTCTTTATTATGGCTATGCATCCTGGTTTTGGCACAAATCATTTATGTGGTCCTTTGACTAAATCTATCAGTTTTAAATCTTACGGATTTGAACATAATCACTCTACTAGCCTTAAAGTAGTGTTTAACATAATTCCATTTTCTGGGCTGGAAATACATGACATCAGCACCAAGTTCACGTGAAGCTTGTATAAAATCACTTCTGAAACCCAGGATCTTTGGTTATTTCCCCATCACCATCAGCCCCTTACCTTCTTTCAGAATTTCAAGGAATAAATGCTCCTAACTCTTGGTCCTTACAATGCCTTCTATGATAAGTGCAATTCATTTGTGTTTATCTTTTTCTTCCAGTCAGCAGAAAGAAAATGGTTACATGATAAACAAGATCATCTTACTTCTTAAAGGAGGCTTAAATAAGTGTGAAAGTTGGCAACAAAGGGCTTTTTGCCTGTCGCCCATTTCCATTTGTCCCCCATTGCCGAAGCAGCCCTCCTATGATTCTAACCTCGTAAGTCCTGCTGTGTACGAGCACCGCCCATGCTCTGTCTTGGCATTCGAAGAGAAGTTCTTAAAGGTGTGTGTCTCTGCTCATCCAGGTAAGCAAGGTCCTCCAAGTGGGCGGAGCTGGTAGCTGACAAGATAGAAGAGTTTAGTTAGAACATGTAAGTTTAGAAAACTTCCTCCAGCTGGTCTATATCTCCCAAGCTTTGGGACCAGATACTCCAGCAGATATATTTCAATGAGACTTTGTTAACCTCAAAATCCTTATCAGTGTCTAGAACATGTGCGAGGGAAATATGTGAAAAGTTTCTTCAGCTCCTTCATCACTATGAACTAACTGCTTGAGCCCACAAAGAATATTAGCAACAAATTGGTAAATACATTATTCAAGTTCTCTTTAAAGATGAAGTGGTAATTCAACAAAAATGTAGTTATTTTATATTAACATGGGTGACACATTTCTACCTGCCAACAAAAATTATTAGTTGTTGGTTCTCTGGGACCACAAATCCCATTTATAAAACAAAATACAAACATCCTCAGAAAAGAAATGTTTCCCAGATTACAGTAGGCTGTGAGGAAAACATGAAGCTGTATTTTCAACATTTTACCTTCATGGTAAAGAGTGTGATATAAAAATATTTTGAGAATGTTTACATACATGTTAGATTTATAACATAACCTAGCACAAACCAAACTCATTGCCATGGAGTTGATTCTGACTAATAATGACCTTATAGGTCAGAGCAGAACTGCCTCATAGTTTCCAAGGCTGTAATCTTTACAGAAGTGAACTGCCCCACATTTTTTTTTCTGCAGAGCAGCTGGTGGGTTCAAACTACCAATCTTTTGGTTAACAGCTGAGTTCTTAACCACTGTACCACCAGGGCTCCATATAAAACAGTATAATATAAATAATGTGTCTGTATATATGTATGTATAGATATGTACGTAGGTATGTAAACATTGGAAATTTGGGTATCTGAGGCATTGACCTGAAAAGTACAAAACAGCATTTAGGGAGCTGCTAATATGCTAATACTAATGAAATAATTCTTTATGTATATATGTGTGTATATATATATATTATATAATCTGAATATAATCAGGTAATAAAGGTCTCCCACCACACCTATAAATCTTTTATTCCCTAACTCAGCCACAAAAGAGAGAATGGCAGAAGATAGGGTGACTCAGACCTTTTACCTGATCATAAGGGTCCAATAAAGAAGGCAGAGGGGAGCTAGTGAATTCTATCTGGTGCTCTCCAAGAATGCCTGTGGCAAAGTGAATCACTGGCTCCAAATCTTCACCCCTCTCTGCATCCATGTTCCTCTGTCATCTGGCTTTGCAGTTCTCTCATTAGAACTCCATTCCCCTTTGCAGTTATTTCCATTAGAGATAAAGGGTATTTCCCTGCCCTTTTGTGTTTAGCTATGTGACTTGCTTTCACCAGTGTGGTGTATTAGTAGACACGATCCAAGGGGATGTTTAAAATGTGTTTGTACATTTGGGTGTATTTTTTTGCTTCTGAGTATATAGACTACATTTAATAATAGTTTCATAATCTATTCTACTTTTTTTGTGTTAAAAAGTCTTCTGGAAAGTAGCTTTAGTCACAGGTTTAGTTTTACTTGTTCCACTTATATTCAATGAAGAGCTGTTGGCAACTTTTGTAAAATATAAATGTTTAATTTGAACTTAACAAGTTATACTAAGTTCATTTTCACCATAAAAAGTTTCTGGGAAAAAGAACATCACTTTTTCTGTCTCTTTGACAAAATGTAGTAAGTGTATTTTGAAATGAGTTCGTTTCTCAATTTCAGACAGGTGGTGTTAGAAGAAAAAGATAATGCTGAGCTGGATGAACAGCTCATTCCTTCTCTAATCCAAATACTCACAGGCTAATTGAACTAAGAAAAGCAGTAGTATCCTAAACCAAGCGTAATAGTTCTGGAGCCCTGATTCAGGGCTTAGACAGATCTGTGATCAGCACAGTGGGAAATTAATGCTTCAATGTGGGACTGAAATTAAATCATGGTTGGTGTTACCTGAATCTATTAAAACGTTCATTCTTTTCCTCGTTTTAGCAATTAATATCATTTTTGTTGGTCTCTGAATCTGTCACTATTTTATTAAAGAATTCCAAATCATTTTCTACTGCCTTTTTTTCTTATTAAATCATTGCTCTCCTCAGTTCTACTTTCACTTTCTCTCTGGTTCATAATTTTCAAAATTCTTGCCAATTCAAATACATTATTTAAAGACATATGAGACAAATACTGAAAAGATCAGCCATGAGACCTGAAATTTTGTTAGATGTTGCCCTTTATTCTAATAGTTGTATCTAGTTGCACTCTCCCCCTCATAGTCCACTTGAATCTTTTCCATTAGCAAGCCATTTTTTGAGAAAAAGTTTTTTGCCATATGTGGTAGTTAAGGTTGCATGTCAACTTGGGTGGGCCTGGTTGAGTGGTTGGGCAGCTGGATGCAATTATTCGCCACGGTGAGATTGGTAATTAACTCCATAGTGGAATGTACCGGAGCAGCTGAGTAGCTGCTTTAGGGATGTGGGCTGTTTCCAGTATATAAGCATCAACTTTGAGGAAGGTCTCCAGCTGATGGCACACTTGAACCTTGCATGTACCCAAGTCATTGTTCAGCAGCCTGCCATGTTCCCCTGCTTATCTTGGGACTTTTAATAGACTTGAATTAACGGCCTGTTGTGTGATTTGGTAAGGAGCTCTGGTGGCATAGTACCTAAGGCATTTGACTACTAACCAGGAGCTTGGTGGTTCAAACCCACCAGCCATTCCTCAGAAGGAAGGTTGGGCAATCTACTTCCATAGTGATAATACCTCGGAAACCCAAGGAGGGGTCACCATGAGTCGGATGCGACTCAACGGCAATGAGTTTGGTTTGGTTTTGGTGTGGTTTGGTAATATTGCGACTATGCCTTTTCACTTGTTGACTTAGCAGCTGCTTGAGTGAAAAGATGCCTCTAGTTTCAGTGGGCCAGGAGCAAGAGGCAGAGCTGAGGCCCAAAGTTGAGGGGGTTTTACCCAGCCCCTAGAGCCTGGCACCGGGAACTTGGATTTCTAACCTGCAAAACTTTAAGGAGTAAATCCCTGTTTGTTAAAGCCATCCTATTTGTGGTACTTTCTGTTAGAGAGGCACAGAGGTGACCAAAACAGAATATGGTACTGGGAGTGGGGTGCTGCTCTGACAGAAACCTACAATGTGGAAGCAGGAGTGGAATATATCCTTGACCCAAGACCCTGGCAGAAAGACCCCGGCACGCAGCATGAGAGACAGCAGGAGCAGAAGCAAGAGACTGGCATAAGAGATGGCAGGAGCACAGCCCAGAGACTGGCATGAGACAGTGACAGCCTTACCAGCCCACAGAGGAGGAAGCTGGATGCCATTTGGTAGGCAGCTTCCTGGCAGAGTGGGTTGCCTTTGGGCATCAATTAGTAAAAAGACCAGCATGAGATGGAGTAGCAGGTTGGCCAGCCCACAGAGCAAGAAAGCTAAGTTTCCTTTGGGCAGGAAGACTCCTGGCAGAGTGGGTTGCCCTCGGGCATTAACTAGCAGAAGCAGAGAGACCAAACTGGAAGCAGAGCTGCCTCAGCCTCAAGGGTAGGACCATGGCCTTTGGGAATGGAACCACCACAGTCTCCTAGGTTTCAAAGAGCCAGACCTTCACCAACTTGGTTCTGGAGTGTGGGGCTGCTTGTTCATGTGGGCCAGTGGGATAGAGCCATAGCTGCTGCCCAAGAGTGAAGGGGCAGGACTGCCATGCCCAAGAGGTTGAATGGTTGGGCAGCTGGATGTAGTTATTCCCCATTGTGAAAATGAAAATCAATTCCATGGTGGAATGTACGGGAGCAGCTGATTAGCTGCTTTAGGGCTGTGGGCTGTTTCCTGTAGATAAAAATAAACTTTGAGGAAGGTCTTCAGCTGATGGCATGCTTGAACCCTGCACGTAGCCGAGTTGTTCAGCAGCCTGCCATGTTGCCCTGCTGATCTTGGGACTTTTAATGGACTTGAAAATAACGGCCAGTTGTGTGGTTTGGTAATATTGAGACTGTGCCTTTTCACTTGTTGACCTTAGGTTTGTCAGCCTCAGCAGCTAGCAGCTGCCTGAGTGACGAGATGCCTCTAGCTTCAGTGGGGTGGAAACAAGAGGCAGAGCTGAGACCCAAGGCCAAGAGGCTTTTCACCCAGCCCCTAGAACTGTCACTCTGAACTTGGACTTCTAGCCTCCCGAACTGCAAGAAAATAAACCCGTTTGTTCAAGCCTTCCCATCTGTGATATTTTCTGTTAGAGTAGGACAGAGGTGACCAAAACACCATACATACCAAACTTACCTTACCCTTTGTCAAAACTTTGCTCAGGCTACACCTTTACTGCTTCCCTGACTGATCACCAATCAGAAATTAATTGTTTCTTCCTTTCCTCAATGACATACATACATAGCTATTTAGAACTTATGTTACTCAGCTAGTTGCTCACAAGTCTTTTTTCCCTCACTAGATTGCAGAAAGTTCCTTGAGAACAAAAATGTAGTCTGATTGATCTTTGATCACTTTATCCCTTCAGAGTAAATCAGAGTGTCCTGCAGAAAGCATTCAATGCAGATCTGAATTCCAGACTATTATTGTTGAGCACTGTCAAGTAGATTCCTACTCATAGCAACCTCATGTGAATGCGCAAAACTGCCCCTTAGAGTTTTCTTGGCTGTGATCCTCACAGAAGCAGATTGCTAGGCTTCCGTGGAGCTGCTGGATAGGTTCGAACCATCAGCCTTTTGGTTAGCAGCCAAGTGCTAAACCAGTACGCTATCAGGGCTCCTGCATTCTGGATTACTATTACTTAGATTGAGTAATCTGTCTGGTTCTATTTGAATCATCTTCATTGTTCTAAGCTTTCTTGATGCATGACAGACATCACTGTAGCAATATGTATCTCCAAGGATGCTCATGTTCATATCATCCTTCAGCAGGTACTGCTAACAACCTCTTATACTTTTTTCCATACCACTTACTACCTAAACAGGGAGCTCTGGTAGCATAGTGCCTAAGGCACTTGACTGCTAACCAGAAGGCTGGCGGTTCAAACCCACCAGC